AAATGATATGCAATTTATAGTATTTTTGTTAAAATAACATCTTTTTTACAGTTTTGCACAATGTATGTTCCAAAAGGAGATAAAAGTGGAACTATGACCAGCACTGGGACACATTCAATTCCTATCCCTGTGAATGCGTTGTCTAAGGCTGTAGGTGTTTCACAGAATGTTATTGCTTCCAGTGTCTCAGCTTCACTTTCACAGGCAACCCCTCTCAAGGTTTGTATTATCCCTAGTTAAAGTCACTGAGTATTTCTAATATTTTGCTTGCATCTAATAATTTTGAAATTTATTTTGTTTTAGCCTACTATTGCTGGTGTTATGAACAACAATGACAAGGATAGCTCCAAGGTACCCAAGGTATGAAATATTTACTATATAGAATATAGTTTTGTTGTTTTGTGGAAGTATTGGATTCAACATTTTTAATTTGCTGTTTTTTTAAATTTTCTAGATGGGTGCTCTACTTAGAGCCATAGCTTCTCCAAGGAATATAGATGCTGCCTCAGCCAATCCATTGCTTTGGAATGTACAGAAATTTTTGTGTGATTTGTTGCCTATGTTCTGGTTTTGTGCAGTGGAGAAAAACGGAATTAATGTAATGCTTCTGTCGTATGGTACTGAAAAGGCTATTCAGAGAAGATTGTATGTATCTAGTGATGGCAAAGTGGAAATATCCGTTCATTGTAAACCTATACCTGATTTGCTTATAGAAACAATTGTTGAGAAGGCAGCCACTAAAACAAGTTTGACTGAATCAACTGTAAAGCAATTTAGTGATTGGATTGTAAGTATAGTTCAGGTTCTTAGGGACTTCCAAATTTGTGTTGGTCTTGAGAGACCTGATTATCGAGAGACGCTAATGAACTCAAACGAGATTGAACTTGATAAGAATCCATATCAGGAGGTCAGGTATACTGAAACAATGAGATCAGTAAATTGTATTAGATTAGTAGAAATTACAAGAAGAAGATGCAATGAGTGTGCAAAATCTTTACAAAGCAATAGAAGACAAAATAAGTTGAGCTCGGCAGCAAATCAACAAAAGAAGGGTGATGTACCTGCCACAACAGAGGAATCTGGATCAAACAAAATTGTCCTTAAAATATCTAAAGGTGTACCTACCCAGGGTAACCCAACAGAAACAGACCCTTCTCCCCATTCTGACCCTGATTGGGTTGAACCCTCACAGGCTCCAAAAAAGTTAAAGAAAAGGAAACTTAAACAAAGTGCTTCAAGATCTAAGAAAAAGCAAGAGGTAATTGCCAATGAAGTGGAAGTAGAGAGCAGCAATGAGTGAAGTGTTTGTGTGAATAGGCAAAGATTTTTAAATTTAACAATCATATTGTTCTTTTGTTGGAGTGTTTTCTCTATACAATAATTAGAGACAAGAGTTTCATCATCACATTATCCACCCGAATCTGAATCATTTTAAAAAATTGTTTGTTTATCCGTGTGGAATAAACCCTGTTATTTTGATCACTAACAATGTGTCACAATTCTGTAACCACCACCACCACCACCATCGTGTCCTTCCCCGCGGTGGGCGGGCGTAGAGTCCTAGACTCTAGGCGGGCCCTGCGGCGGGCGCGAGCTGTGAGACCCCCCCCCCTCTCTCCAATAACAAACCGAATAATGACGACGAGTGAGGCAGGCCAGGACCACTTTTGCCAGATTGTGGCCAGTCCTCCCGACATTAGCGCACTTTCACCTCTGTGGAATGCCGGAGGGGCGGCGCGGGGAACAAGTGAGAACTCCCCTCAAGTCTATTGAACGCCACCCGTGCCGCGCCGCGCCCCGAACAAATAATATCACATGTTGTTCTCCCACGGCCCACCGCTCATACGCTGGAGGCCGTACAAGGGCCGCCGGTATGCCCACACGGCCAGTGCGAGAAAAACGACAACAACAAAAAAGTCACACTTTTCGAGCATTCAAAAAAATTACCAGTTTCCATACGCTTATTGTTGCTGATAGCGCGGTAAAGAAAGAGGCTTGTACCCGTGGCGGGGGTGGGAAAATTTTGAGGGACATCGAACCCGCCCGAACGACGAGGGCGGGCTGTCGGTTGGGCCGATCGTGTTATAATGTCTATTAATAAAAAGTTTGCCTGGGAGCCAGACACGCTAGAGCCCCTTATCGTCAGCAGGGCAGACGCTTTGAAGCAGACGGCGTTCAATAAAGGGAGCCGGGACGGGCGCGACCCTGGGCCGTCAGCGCGGCGATTAGATTGCGGGAGCCACCCCCCGTGCGGCCCGCAGCATCAGCCGGGCGCCGGCCAGGCGGCAGCCACCAGCCACCCCCGGCGGCCGTGCTCCCCGCGTGGCCCGCGCGTGGGAGCGTGGGACACACGTGAACGCCCCCCTAACCGGCCAAACTCCGAAAGATTCACAGAATTTTGAAAAATATTCCGTGAGTGAAGTCACTTTACAACAGTAGTATTTTTAATGGGGTAATTTTCATACTTACAGCTCTAATAAGGTTTTGAAGTGACATTGTGTGGCAGGGGGGGGGGGGGCATGACGAAACTGCCCCGTGCAGCGCGAGGACACCAGCGGTATTCGAACGCCCGCCGCCGCTGCAACGCGCTGACCTGGTCACCGCAGTTGACCTATAGTGCCTCGAACAGGTGGCGGCGGCGGGGCGGAAGTTGGGTGAAAACCAACCAACCAACACACACCTTACACACAGCAGAGAGTGCGAGAGAGAAATAGAGACTCGCAGAGAGACGGACTCCCCGCGCAAAACGGACGGAAGAGATCGGTAGTTACGAAACTCCATAAAGTAAGGTGGCGCGCAGGGAGGCTGCGCCGGACCACGGCGACATCGGGCGGCGCCCAACGACGGCAAGACCCCCGTAACACCGCGGCTCGCCTTCGGACCGGACGTCACTCCACTCCCATCGGTGCGCCGCGCGGCCGACTCGACCAGGTTGCGTTTGATTTCCTTTTGGCACCGCGTCGAGATCTACTTACAGACGGACTAGCGCCTATCCCCTGCATCTTTGCCAAATGCCAAGAATTTAAAAAAAACTTTTTTTTTTCCTAGAAAAGAAAAAGTGACACGTTTAATTTGTCCTGCGAAGTGGCGGTTCGGCTTCGACTCTCGCCCGCGGATCTTAATCAGATCCTTTGCTAACGACACCGGGACAAGTCGTAATCTCGCGCGCAAGAAGTAGGGGAGAACTAGGAACACTCTCTCACTCACACACACACACAGCTTTTTTTTTTCTTTCTCGCCGCCTTCCTTCTTGATGAGGGGCGCTCGTGGTCGCGGTGGGTGTTCTTTCTCCCTTTCGTTGGCCCCCGGCCCGCGGCGGTGCGGCTGGTGCGGCTGCCTGCACTGCGCGCTGCTGCACAGCACACCTCCGCGGAGCAGTTATTGTGGCAGGGCAGGGGGGCGGGAGGGGGAGAAGCGGCGGTGATCCACAGAGAAAATAAGATGTGCGATGGTATGGCCCGCCAGAGACGTGCGAAGAGAAGGCCGCCGCCCCGGAGGGAGGAGGGGCCCAGGCCCAGGCAGGCGGGCCCAGGTCTGCAGGGACCACATCGACGGCGCGGCCGCGGCGAGGCGCGCGGTTACGTCAACACGACCGGCAGACACTGCACGGCCGCGCGCGCGAACTGCGCACATCCGCACGTCGCTGCTGCTGCTGCTGTTTCCCCCTCATCCACGTATCCGCGCTCAACTTTGCCCTCTCGCTGTGTGCCGCTGCCGCTGCTTCTGGAGGCAAAGCACAGAATAAGGACGATCCCGCGCAATTTTGCGGCTTTACCCGATGCGGATGATTTACGACGGTCCAGAAGAGCGGTGGACGGCGGGGGGGCCACGAGCAGCAGCTGCAGTTACCTGCTGAATGTCATTGGTGGTGGGGTGAGCACAGCAGCATCCAGCAGTTACCTATGCTGACTGTCAGTGGCGGTGGGGTAGCATGAGCAGGAACAGAGTCACCTGCTGACTGACAGCCCCTACCCGCCGTGCAGGTGGTCACCCCGGGGGCGCGCCCGCGCGCGGTGCTGCATAACCGCGACAGGTGCCGGGCCGCGTGTGAGCCGCCCGGCTCCTCCAATAAGTATTGCACGGCGCTCATGTGGCGATGTTTGTCGCGGAGAGAGCGAGAGCGCGACGCCGGGTCGGGTCAGGCGCAAGGCATTGTCTTAGGGCGCCGGCCGCCGGCCCGGCCCGGCCCGCGCGCCACGCCCCGATACAGCCGTGGGCACGACGCACTTTTATCTCGACACTCCCCGTCATTATTTTGGGACGAGGTGACGCGATTTCGTAATGTGCGTCTCTTGTCTTTGAATGGAGACGACGAGGGTCCTAACCCGCACGCCGCGCGGCCGAGCCCGGCGGGGGGCCCGTATCGGCATGTATCGCGTTTAGGGCGGGGCGGTATTGGGGAGCAGCAGCAGCGGCAGGAGGAGGAGTTTCGTAGAACTGATCTGGTTCAGCGCGCCTGGGCCGCCAGAGGAGGTCGCCGCCGCCACCGCGAGACAGGTTGACACGCTCCAAGGTCCTCTCCCGGACCACAGCATGACGTCCAGGACACGCCCCCCTCGCCTCACCGACACGCGCAGGAGGTGTGCGTTATCATTTAGCCTGGTATATAAGTGCCTCGATCACTCGGCCCGCGCAATAGACCCACCGCGTTGGAATTAATTTTCACCCGATCGCACTAGCTGACGTTCAGTTTTGGACCTTTTCATGGCTTACATTTGAATGTCGGGGTGCAGTGTATAGCTCAATCTTTTTCCAGGGCACACGAGGCCCTTTTGACGGCGAGGTCACCGCATTACAATCACAAAGCCGAGTAGTCGAGTACCTAGGGGATCTGCTGGGGGATCGCCCAGAAAGTTAGTGCGGCATTCGCCCGTTACGAACAGGTCAAGTTAAGGAGCCTGCCTCTGCAAGCTCTTATAGCGCCTGTTACGTAGGCAACATCTTGCCTGCACTGCATGCGTGTAGTGCGGGGCGGCCTACCCCGAGTCTCGCAGGCGCCCAGCTCCCGTAATTTGCCGAATGAATGAGAGGAAAACGGACCGTACAATACTTCCTGGGCGATCTTTCCGATGCGAGCGAGCGAAGAGCGAGCTACAAGCGCAGGCACCGTGCCTCGCTCGCTCGCATCCAGCCAGCCCGCCCGCAGGCCCGCCTAGGAAGTGACCTCCTCCATCTCTCGCCCCGCCACGCACACACCGAGCGTCATCGTAACTTTGGAATACGATGGTTTCGCCTAGTGTGTCATCGATACCAACAATGCTCGCATAATCGCAAATAGCTGTGGTTAGGTGGGGTAGGGCGTGGCAAGACGGGGCGGGGCGGGG